TTCAGTACATCATTGTGTGCATCCGAAATCTCGAGGTATGACAATATCTATACAGCAGACAGTATTAGCTACCCTTAGTTCGCCCTTGGGTATCCAAAAATCCGGCTAACAGAATACGCATTTTTGAGGCAGGGCAACAGCGTTCTCAGATAAAACTGACCCCTTTTAAATTGCGATCTCTAACCAGCTGGTCAAGTGTGGGTTCTGATAAGGATTAGGTAGATTTAGGTAATACCTATTCGAAAATATAATTAATGGAATTTATAAGGACTATGAGTAATTACTACCTAAAAACTTGCTGTCTGTTTACAATTTGTCACACATTTTAAACATTAGGTCATGCGGTTACCAAAGTATTTTTAAAATAATTTTTGTCATGGGATAGGTCGGCAAACTAACACATGACGGATATATAGGTACACATAATAGTGATTAATCGGCGCCGACAATGGACACCCGCAACACCAAAGGAGTTACGAGTGCGTTACCGGTCTTTTGGAGATAAGGGAAGGGATTGGGAAAAGATGGGGGAGGGGAGGGCCTCCGGTAACCTCACTCACACGGCAAAACAAAGCGGTGTGGTTGGTTCACGCCAGTTTTAACAGGAGAATAAACGGAGTCGTTTTTGGCCAGGGCGGGCGGCTAAGTGAATAAATGATGTCCTAACCTTAAAAAAAAGAGAGACTATTTCCTAAGTACATGTAATACTTACATCAGCACCTATACAGTATCTATGTGTATTCAGTATTAATCAATTTACGATGTAAAATGTACCCTGGAATTTATTAGGTATATTTAATGAACTTGGCCATTTTATTACCTATCAAATTGATTGATGTGTTTTGTATAGCTATAATTTCTTTTTTTAACCTTGCCCACACTATGATTGTTTCCAGTGTCGTGATCGCGTCACCAAAATACAATTTCACATATGCATACATTACACCCAGGCCTAAAATAATTTGTAGATCACGCAACGAGTTGTACCATGCGGGATTCGAACCCGCTTCACGTTGTGAGGCAGCCGGTTACCTGGCAATCAGTTGTGTGTGCAGTAAACTATGCCATTAAAGTCATATCCCAATACTTTTGGTACCTATTGTGATTTAAGGCTTGCGCCTCGAGGTAAGCGAGTTTTGGAACCTTTGTCCATTGGAAAATAAAGGAATTCTTTTTTTTTACATCATCATAATTAACAGTCTATAAATAAGCAGTTTTGAACGAAGACCTTTTTTCACACGGAGAAGGTTTGAGCATTAATCAGCACAGCACGCTTGCTTGGCGGGTTGACGACTACAAACTTATATTTGAATATCAACTATCGTGGGACATACTAAATTTATTTATGATTATGACTTTAAACTACATAGTAGAGCTTTTCTCAGTCATTTTTCCTTTTCCAAATCTATAATATATAATTATATAATACTTATTATAAATGCGAAAGTAAAAGTGCGAAAGTAGTCTTTTCTTCACGCCTAAACTACTGAACCTATTTGTGTGAAATTTGGTACAGACTTAGTTTGAAACTCGAGAAGGAACATAGGATAGTTTTTATACCAAAATTTTGCAGGAAGTCACTATTCAACGCGAACGCAAGCGTAGGAAAAAGCTAGTTTCAATAAATGCACAAACTTACAAGTAATTTCGAATTAGAAGTCAAAGTTTGCTTACCTATGTGTATTTCTGATGTTTGCCTTCACTTCACCGTTTTTAATTATATACCTAGTATTTATGAATAATACTTGTTTGTGCGGTTTTGTATTGACATCTTTCCTTTTGTTTGTCACACGGTTCATTGTCATTTGGCCTTCTAAATAAGTAACTTTAAGTTTTTCTTAGTACTATATTCTACGTAATTTCATCTAAAACAGATGTCGACTTGTTTAATAACATTATGATTTCATATTTATTTTAAGGATTGCGGTTAGTGTACAAGACTGTCAATCATATTTTGTGGTTGACTGTACATGAATAATTTAGTAGTTTGAAGAAACAATTTGGGAGGGAAAACTAAAATTTTCATTGGTTTGAACAACTTTTTTTCCTTCTCCTGCTCAAGGCAAAGGCCACGGCACATTATTGACTTGACTTGAAAACAATTTAGGGATGATTGTCAAGCTGATGAATTCATTTTCATAAATTGTATAAGTGCCTAAGAATAACAATTTAAGCTTAGTTTTAATATGACTGTCCCACTATAAAGAAAATAAATTAGTACCTATGTTTGCTTTATATGCAGTTTCTAAATTTCTAGTTCTTCTTTAACAATAGGCTTTTAGAAAAGACTTATAGGGACTTTCCCACAGAATAAATTATTACTCTCCATCTTCTTAGGGAATAACAGACGTGATGATTCATAATAGGTGTACAATAATATAATAATATTCTTATAGACCGTTTCACAGTCTAACAACTGGCATTGAAGTTTGTATGTAGAGGGTAATGTTTGGAACTACTGGTCGGATTGCCAAAATTCTTTCACTGATATATAGCTACAATGTTCCTGAGTGCTATAGGCTAAAAAACGTCAGGCTACGATTAAATGGAGCTGAACAGCGGGTGAAGTTGCGCGAGAGTAGCTAGTACCTGATAAATTTAATGTGCCTAATTTGAATGAAATATTTGCGCCTTGCAGGTAGAGAGCATTAATGTACCGCGACTCCAGCCTGAAGAAGGAGAAGGAACGGGGTGGTTATAAGTCAGTAAGAGTCTGACACTCTCTCTCGCCCCACCCAGGGCGGGAGTAGACATTTGATGACTTTTCCCTTACTGAAAAGAGCATATATTCTCACTTTTGCTAGTTGCCTATGTATAAGCAGCTGCCATTTTTATAATTAGGGACTATGAAATGTGATTACAGAATTATTTTTTCATCGCTGTTGGGTTTATTTATTAACGTAGGTAGTTTTAGTATTAGGTATTTGAATAAAATAAAAACAACAAATATAATTTCTAACACGGTTTTATCTCGTCAATATTATAATGATACGGCTCAAATACATTATTACAGTAATTACTGAGGTAAAAACGAAAACATTATTTCACTAAAACATACTTAATAATTATTAAATTCGAAATTTTATACACCGATTATTATTAATATTGCACTTTAATATTAATCCAAAAAATATTAGAAATGATTTTATTTATTTTAAACAATATCTTGTTATGGGTAAAATGCTTATGTATATTAATAGGTCCTCTAACAAAAAAGAAAATACATTCTTACAATACAGTCAAGTCAACAACAAAGAGGAAAAAATAATTTCCAAAATTGGGCTTCAGATCTTTAACGATTGTGGACATCACTCACACGGCGAAACACAATGTTGTGGTTGTTTTCTGTGAAACCGTTAGCTCTTCCACACTTAAGTATTATATTATTATTATCAAGGGTAATGCTTTATTTTTTATCACTAGATGGCGCTAATGTGGGCTTTTGCGTTTTTCGTCCAATAATGACCTACGTTGTCTAGCTAGCGTCCAATGGTGTGGCACTCACTGAATTTTTGACAGCTACAGTAGACACGAGATAGTGTTGTCTTAGTTAGGATTAGCGCCATCTAGCGAGCAAAAAAACATTAAACTGATTATTATGAACTTTGGTTTCTTTTGTAGCTGAAATAAATTATCGGTTCAAATTAAACCCAATAAAGATTATTGAAGCGATTTTCATTTAATATTTACAAATATGTTAGAATCAAAGACATGTCGAATTTTTCTATTGTATATTGTAATTTATACTAATATCTGTGACAAAATGTTAAATATTGATATACGTGCAGACAGACAGATTATTAATGTTTACATGTATAAATTTCCTTGATATTCGAAGTTCGTATAATACAAGCTATTTATCATACAATCAAAATATAGCTGAAGTCATGTTTCTAGAATTTTAAAAATATTTACATTTTTGCAATCAACATCATAAATATCTGGTCATTTTATTCATCGTATACTTAAGTTTTACTTATTATTATTTTATATTAAATTTAATATTAATATAAATTTTAATAACAGACCACATATTTATGACGCTGACTGTACTTTAACAGTCATTTTTAAAAGTATTAAGTATTTATTATTAGAATAAAAACTAAAAATCGTTTATTTAATCATAATATTAATTAACAATAATAAATAAATAACTAAATACATTTTTATACACTTCATATTAAGTAATTACATTTTTTATTATTAAAAATTATAAAACAAATAAGTCACAACTCTTTTTTTATACTAATTTAATCATTAAAATTAAAATTGCATTTATTAAACTATAATTGGTACCTAATGTACTTGCATTGAGAGATGTTTTAAAATATTTACAAAAGTTTTAAAAAGGGAAAATAACAATTTTATAATGTATCTACATAATAATATACTGATTGTATTATTGATATAATATGAAGTTATTTCTTAACATTTCTGATAGTAAAAATGCAAAAACAGACAAGTAAAAGAAAAGCGACGTCAGCAGACTGATCTTATTTACCTACTTAGAAATATTTTATTATTCAAAAAAATATTCAGGTTTGTGCTATTACAGTAAAACAGTGATAAACAGGACTTAATTACATCAACAATTAATTACATCTTTAAAATTTATTCTTTGGTATAATTAATTTATAAATAAATATTAAATTAACTTAAACATAAAAACGATCACAATAAGGAACGAAATTATAAAATAAATATAACCCTTTTTCTGGCGGTTGGATGGAAAAACAAAACACGCTCGCGGTAGAGCACAGCCAAGTTGTTTACAAAAAGTTAAGAAGAATTTGACGTACTTAAATAAAATATTTTTACTTTAAAACATAACATATATTACGCCTTCTGTTTTCCGACTGGGTAAGCATGGGTTAAGCTACTTGAAGTACGTAACATTTCCATTTTTCCAGATCCAAACAACCAGACACCAATTCAGACACTCCTCTACTAAAACTTATGAGAGAAAAATCGAAAACAATATATCTCGTAGAGACCGTTTATTCTGTCTAAACAGCCTACCGCCTGACTTTTCTAGGGAACCTGACATTGCTTACAAACGGCTCCTTGTTCAGGCGTCATTTCTTCCCAATGCCGATGAGTCCCTGCGCTGACGAGAGAGACGCGAGTGTGAGCCTGTCCGTCCTCTCCTGTGTGGTGAGCAGTCTCTCCGCGGAGTTGAGGGACGTCAGCGAGAGCCGGCTGTCCGGCAGGGGGGTGGCCGAGCTACTCGTCGGGGCCGCTATGGGGGTCGTGGCTCGCGTCAGTGGCTTGGGCAGCGATGGCTGCGTCGTTGGCGGTGATGTCCTCAATGCTGTTGGTTTCTGGTCACGGCCGCTGCAAACCTATTTAATAGATAAATAAAATAAAATATGTCGGAACAGAAAAATGCTTGCATGGTGTTACATCTTAAAACCCCACAAAATGGTGGCAATTCAATCTTCTTTAATATTACAAAAGTCTACGGAGGGCGCCAATTGCTTACTACCAGATGATCTATCGGTTAGTAACCCAACAAAAGTCAAGCCGTAAAAAATTTAGGTTTAATGAAGTTCTGAGTTTTGAATCTCGTTGTTAAATAAACTAGCATGTGCAATAGCTTAGGTACGATATAGTTTATTTTATTGCAATCTAAAATTTGAGGACACTTTTGGATCTGCTACAATAGAAGATTTACTTTTTGACATTACCTGATGGTGATTTTCCCAGTCCTTATGTTGGCAGAAGGCACCACAATATCGCGCTGCGTTGCAGCCGGAGCATGTCTCCTGAGCCTTGCGGCCGCAGTTCCAGCAACACTGCATTACAAATGACAAAGTTAACAAACTTTGTTACTAAGCTACTTTTCGATAAGAAATCGCTTCATACTATGCACCTGAAATAAAGTTTTTATTCATAACGCCTTCCATTCTACCATTCCTTCAGCTAGTAAAAGTAAAACGTATAATTTATTGAAAATTAAGATTTACTCTTCTCTCTCGAGCTTTTCTCTGTTTTTTCTCGTGATTGGAATACGTCGCAAAGCCGACTTAATACTCTTTATTACTATACTTACTATACTTACTTACTTTATTACTAGATTTAGCCGCAAATAGGCCATAAAACGGCACTTTTACACGTCAATAAATTTTATATCGTATAATACTTACATTTTGCTGCGAGCTAGCATTAGGACTGAGTTCCCTGCCAGGTGGTGGAGAATGCCTTCGTTCTCCAAGTCGCTCAACCTTCCCGCGCTCAGCTGCGACCAGTTCTAAAGCCTTGGTCTCCGCTGCACCCACCGCACGCTGCAATTCCAGAAGCGCTTGGCGTTTCACCTGATTGACATGTTTGTGTTAATATGAAATAGTGCCATAAAATTAGTTAGTTGTGATAGAAACATGCAGAAATAATAGACAACGGTGATTAAGCTTTACAATAAAACAATGAATTAATTTGTGTAAATAGGCCATAAACTACGTGACGTGTAACTCGTCAACATTTCTGGAAATATTGGTAAATAAATTGACAAAGCGTGTATTACATCTCTACCACTGCTATTACCTGCATTCTGTATCGATTCCTATACACATAATATGAACATCTAATTAAAACTAGTTACCTGGTTAACAGCATCCTCAGCTCGTCTCCGCACCTCTGCGACCCTCTCCTCAGTCTGCCTGACCGCTGTCGCCATGATTTCACTGGCTGCGCGCTTTATTTCATTGCTTTCTGTTGGCTCCACACCTGTTTCATGGTAAAATATGTTATAGTTCACCTTTAAAAAACAACAAGAAAGAAAAACTAAATTATTGGAGAAATAAGAAAAGAAATATCTATTTAATCTTAAAAAGAGAAGAAAGCGTACGAGAACCGTAGCTCATGGGAGGCCAGTAAGACAACTTTCAAAAACACGACTTCATTCGCAGACAGCAAAGAGAAGATCCTATTGGGTGCCTCAAAAATCAATGTAAATTACAATCTCATTGTTCCTTGTTCGTCCTTCTCCAAACTTCACTGACGAACAGACTGACATACTATTATTCTATTTTGATGTTGACATAAATGATTTTGAATTTGACACACAACTCAAAGTTATATCACATGAACTTGGCAACTCTACCATGCCCCTTGTATTCGGTAGTGAATCTAATATCTTACCTCTTTGCTGCAGTATCGCGAGTGCCCTCTTAGTCTTCTCCACCATGCTGAGGATGCAGTTCAGCATGGTGTTGATGTTCTTCCACTCGTCATCTGTCTTCAGAAGGCCTGAGGGCGCAGCACCCAGTCCACGGGGCTCCGCGAACGGCGCGTTCATTGAGTTTACATCGCGAACTGTTATACCACCTGGTTGTGAAAATCAGAATGTATCTATTTATTATTGAATAATTAATTAGTGAATTTTGAGACATACAAAGTATATATTTTTTTATGTGATAAGTCTGCAAACGAGCATACGGATTACCTGATGGTAAGCAATCAACGCCGCCCATGGACACTCGAAACAACAGAGCAGTTACGAGTGCGTTGTCGACCTTTTGGGGATTGTGGATTTGGACATTTAGGGATTGGGGGAGGGGAAGAATTGGGCTTCTGGTAACCTCACTCACACGGCGAACACACCGCTGTGGCCGTGGTATCACTCCGGTAGAGCCGACCTATTCGTGCCGAAGCATGGCTCTCCCACTATTCACATTGAGAGAAATGACTTCAAATTCAGATTCAGTTTTATTTATTTGTAGATACTTCGCGTGATTATTTTTGAAGATCTTGTCCCGCTTTAAATTTGTCTCCTGTGTAGTGTCGTGGGTGCGTTTACAAACACATCACACCCAGATACGGAACAACTATTTTTGAATTACAGAAAGAGTTGTTCCGTGCGAGAATCGAACCCGCGACACGTTGCGCGGCAGCCGGTTGTCCAGCCACCACATCAACCGTGCAGTTAACTATGAATTAACTGAAAAAAGCTTTACTACTTGTAAATCTATTAAGCACTCACCATCCCTCCTCTCATAGCCGCCCTCCTGGTTTCCATGATATGTATGGTAAGGATGTCCATAATCAAAGAGGCTGGCGTTGCTAGGCAACGGGTACAGGAATGGTGACGGGTTCAGGAACAGACTGGAAGCGGCGCGCTTGGCTTGTGGTGGGTAATCTTCGTGAGAGCCGTTTGTTTGAGGAGGATCGTAGAATCTGGAGAAGATTATAATGAATCAATTTTGTGACATATTGAAAGGTAGGAATGAAACATATGACGTTTTGGTCCGGAGATTAAGACCGCTTCTCATGCATGAGGGTGCAAGTTCGAAACCTGTACCAAGTAGCAATGTAACTTTTTCCGAGTTATACATATTTAGTTTATAGTTATGATTATTTAGACACCACTGACATACGGTGAAGAAAAACATCGCGACAAAACCTGGACTTATCTATACTAATATTATAAAGGGGTAAAATTTGAAATTTTTGTATGTTTGTAAGTTTGTATGTAGGGGGTAATCTTTGGAACCGCTGGTCGGATTGCCAAAATTCTTTAACTGATAGATAGCTACAACGATCCTGAGTGCTATAAAACATCACGCTATGATCAAATGGAGCTGAGCAGCGGGTGAAACCGCTCGAGAGTAGCTAGTAATATCTAATTTCATAAGTTTGAAATCGCCAATCTGCCTTGATCAAGCGTGGTGATTAATGCTCAAACCTTCTCCGTGTGAGAAAACCTTTGCTCATTATTGGGCACTTGCCATACGCTGATAATGTGATGTGTTGTGTAATGAACTTTTTTTTTCATCAATCACTTAATCTACTAAAAAACCGCATCAAAATCTGTTGCGTTGTTTTAAAGATTTAAGCATAGGTACTTACATAGGACATAGGGACAGAGAAAGCGACTTTGAGCATGATAACGTTACGTAGTTATTTTCAAAGACAAAATCGTGCTTTTAAATTTTTTTTTTTACTTGCTATAGACTAGTGCTTGCCTGCGATCCCACCTGATGGTAAGCAGTGATGCAATCGTTGATGGTAAGGCGCACTAGTTTATTAAGAGCCTATTCACTCTAGCCTTGAAGACACCTAAATTGTATTCAGACGGAAAGACTGCAGCAGGCAAACTGTTCCAATCCCTCGATGTACGCGGTATAAATGACGAGGCAAAACGCATACAAGATAAAATTAAATTATTATATTATTTCTAATACATTGTAGAAATTTATAAATAAAATTGCATACCAGATCTATCTACAACAATTAAATATAGGTACTAACGGACTCGCGTTAACTTTCCCAATAATCACGTAAGAATTAATTGGATTTCACGTCCAGGAATTGTACCACGAACCACGAAGCCTTTTGTTTAAACCAAATTAATTATAAAATTAATCACAGCTGTAGGTATCGACACTGAGCAGAACAATACTATCATGGCGTACTATAAAATTATTAATAATACGAACGAATGAACTAGAAAATAAAGACAATACAAAACTTGGAACAAATGAGGGACCGTTCATAAATTAGTTGCTGGCGTAAACTATACGCGGGAGCGACGTTTTAAAGAACTCAGTGATTTCCGTTTTACGCGCACATCCTATGTATGTCATTAAGTTGTTTTAATAGGAAAAGAAACCAAATATATTTACCTTTACTAAAAGGTAATATATTTGTAAGTTTGTTTGTAGGAGAAATTTTCTGAATCCGCTGACAGGATATCTAAAAGTCTTTCACTGTTTTTGGAATTCCGGAAATTTAAAAGTAAGTAATCCGATATACATAATCTTCTTTTAAACGCGCGTGAAGCCGCGGATGGGTACCCGTTTATAACAAAATTTATCAAATAATTAGTCAAACCTCAAGAGAACTTATTGTACTATCGTGTCTCGAATTACCACGATTGAAAGGCTAATAGGTCTTTACACAAAAAGTGATAGCGTTTTTATTTATTCATTTATTTGCATAAAAACCTATACGTTAATACTTCATAGTTCAGTCGTTGCCATACAGTTAGGTACTCGTACTTTTACCCTGATTTATTATTGTCTTTTGATTTAATGAACTCATCTCCCTAATCTTTAAATACCTTACCAGCTTTACTAAAATAGTTTTTATCAGTATTCAGTATTTGTATTGCATTTATATATGCACTAAATATAAAAACTAAAGAAAAAAATACTTCAAGAACGCTAGTTACGTCACTTAGAAATATATTCGAAGTTTACATAACAAGAACAAACAGCAGTAACTCAATATTTTCCAATAATCTCGACTCCATTGCTTCATAACTTGGTCCACGTGTGCTTTGGACGGCAAACAAGGCAAACTAGGCGCGCAATGCAATCGATGCAATAAATAATAATCGGTACAAGAGACGCCGCGCCCCACCGCCTGCTTGATAGCCGGCTTTGTGGAAGAGAGGAAAGCGGGAGTAAATGGTCTTATGAATACTAATATTGAGGGAATTATTTCTTTAAAAATATTAAAAGTCGCGTTGAGTTACGAAAAAAAAAAATTAAATGAAAAAATATTCAAATATTTTTAAGTAAGTTTATTTTTATTGTTTTGCTTTGTTGATTTCTTTGGGATGACAAATTGTTTTTGTTAAAATGATACAGCAAACGGGAAGGAAAAAATCCTGTTTGATTTTCAGAGGTTACACTTTATGCTAATTAATTTCCTTTAGATTTATTTAGTAGGTTATTTCTCAGTTTATTCACGTAAGTAAGTCGTTATTTCCAATAAATGTTGTGTTGCCTTCAATAGTAATTATTAAAAAATTCATAATATTTAACCAAGAGCGACAAAAAATAAGTTTCACAACTCGCTACCGCTCGTAGCTTGTGGCCTCCGCTGGGGTCGCGCCAAGCGTTTGATTCGTAAGGCCGTGTCGCAGCACTGTCGCGTGCATACAGCTGTGATCTATACGTTACGCCTACCCAGTTTTTGGCTTTATTCATTGCACTGATAAGCAATATTAATTATGGCTTTTCATTAGTGGAATTGGCTGCATTTCATTATAATAGGAAGCGTATTAGAATTGAGTTCGGAAACGTGATTAATGTTGTATGTTTTGTGTTGTGTATGTGTAGGTATTGATTTACTTCGCATTTAATTTCCAATAATATGATGAGACTGCTTGATTTATCACTAGGTTGTATAAAACAAAGTAGCCTTATCTATCCCTATGTATTCTTAAATCTTTTTCACTGCGCAACGGATTTTGTTGCGGTTTTTTTATATGTATTATTAGTAACATCCGATAAATAGTGAAGCAATTTACGGAATCCCGTGCGAAGCCCCAGCGGGTCGCTAGTTATAAATAAATAATAGATAGCAGATGCGTAATAAACATAAATAATTGGTCAAAACTTTCTTACATTTTTAAAAGAACAATAAAACAATTACTCTACTTCAAGGAAACAATGTAACCTTACCTATCTTTGCAAACTACAATTACAAGCTAGCCATATATCAAAAGTTCAACAAACAGTAATTTTGTAAGCAACATGTGTTCCCGCGGCTGCGCCAGCGAACTAACGCCTGACTGTTTACTGCGAGCAATTAGTCGACAATCAAACTTATGCCAGCTGCTGCTAATGCCACTACGCCAGGCGCCAGCTTGAACTTGAAAACTTTCTGTTTATACGAGCAATTAATAAATATGGGATAAATTTTATACTTTTTGAATTTGTAATATGAAAACGAGTTTAATTTTAAATGTGGCATTGTTACCAACTTTGTCTTTGTTGTTCCGAAATCGTTTGCAATTTCTCGTTTTAGCTATGATTTCTATTGTAATTGTCTCCTTGATCAATTAGATTACATAACTTATCTTAAAATCTTTACTCTCAAAAGCCATCCAATCTTCAATTCAACATCTGTTCACCCCTTCAGCGAACTTCTTAAATATCGTTAGTAATCCCGTTCCGTAACACACACAACCTGTGATAATGAAACAGCCGATCAGACACATCTGTGCGCGCTATTAACCGTTGAGGCGCCTGCTGGTTACGTTATAGCAAACTCCTAATCACACTAATTGCTAACACTAATCTGGCAGGCGTTTTACCTCGTTTATGTAATTATGATTTTTATGTATTACAGTTACGTCTGTTATTCTAGTATCTCTATATAAATGCTCTGTAAGGCTTATTTGTACAAATTAATTATATGTCTTAACCGTATCCGAGTTAAAGCGGTACATTACCTACATTGTAGCTAACAAGAACATAACTAGCTACAACAGCTTGTTAAGCAAAATATTCTAGCTTTTAGCTTTAAATAACCCAGGGGTGCCGCTGTTATCTGGCTCCTAAGTTATGCCAGCGCCACAGCCTAAGCTACAAGCTTAATAAACAATGCCATATGCTAAAAATTTACTTTACAACTTGGCAAACGCACGAGGCGCGGCGTGTTGTAATAAATAAGGCTCATACGTGGCTCTAACGAATTGGGGTAGGCAGTATTTAAAGCTGGCGGTCGCAGCGCCCTGCCAAATTGTCCAATAATAATAATTTAACCTTACCATAGCAACTGCGTGTTGTGGTTAGAGATTTTTTTCGTGCGAAATTTTTCTATAACGAGGTCATGAAAATAAATAGGTTGCCCCATTCATTGGTTTTGTTATTATATATGCGAGTGGGTTTTTACGCTACAATACGTAAGATCCTAAACTTAGGTGTAATTTACCCTAGATGACATAATAATTACAAACAAATGAATGGTATTTACATTGCACGTTTCAGTTATAATTGAAACGCCTGTCTATTTACACTTAGCAAGTTGCTATCAAGCAGCAAGTGTAGCGGCGAGGCAGGCGCGGGGGGGAGCACTACAAATTACCTGTCCGGCCCACTCACCTGACTCTGACGGACATTATTGATAGTACCATTCATATTGTTTCGGTTTCACTATAGTTAATCAATTTTTGGCTAGAACGGAATACATTTTGTTGTTTATAATTAATGTTTCATAGTTCTGTGTGACAGCTGATGTTTAGAACAATTTTCGTGCTCGAATTTTTGTTATTTAATTAAATTGAGGTTGTAGTTTGATTAAATTTAGTTGCATTAGGTTTCGGGGTAAACTGGAATCACTTTATTATTTATTAGTTTGATTATAGAAGCATAACGAAGAGGTAGATTTGGTCTCGTCACCCATAGTTCTGTTTTTGTCCTTTCGTAATAAAGTAAAGGATAACTCACGGGTCACTGGCTCGTCGTTTGATGCCTGTCTCAGCGGCGGTACCAGATGGATGCTGAGCAAAGATATCGCTGCTATCGCCTCCTGACTCCAGGATCAGATGCTCGTGTGATCTGATGTACTGCAATGGAGTCTGAGGACAAAATTAACCCGTTAAAGTTCTAGTATAATACTCATGGGAGAGCTGCATCGGCACGAATGGATCGGCTCGAGCGTGATGATACTACAGCTCCTCAGAAAACCGACATGAAACCACCACAGCATTCTGTTTCTCCGTGAGAATGAGGTTACCGAAGGCCCAATTCTTCTTCCCTTCCCTCAATCTAGCCCCAAACCCTAATCTCTAGACCGGCAATGCGTAATTCCTCTGGTGTTACGAGCGTCCACGGGCGGCGTCGATTGCTTTTTTTATGTAATAGGTCGACAAACGAGCTGACGCATTACCTGATGGTAAGCAACAGCGCCGTCCATGGACACCCGCAACGGAAGTGTTTCGAGTGCGTTGCGGAATTAGGGTTTTGGAGATTTAGGAATTGGGCAGGGATCGGGGGAGGGGAATGATGGGGCCTCTGGTAACCTGACTCTCACGGCTAAACACAACGCTGTGGTTTTTTCACGCCGGTTTTCAGTCAGGCCATGGTATTACTCCGGTCGAGCCGACCCATTCGTGCCAAAGCCTGGCTCTCCCACACTGCTTACCAGGTAATAAGTCTACGGAAACTATCAAATAATGCAGTTTTTAGTATTTCTTGCCAAAATTAAGCCTGTCCTGCAATCCTTTTAGTCCGATGAAATACAAAAAGTTATCAAGTTTTCTACTAAGGAATAACCACCACACAAAAGTCAATTTTGGCTGTTTAAAGATTTCCAAAGTTTACCTGTTTTGCCCTCCTAGCCCTCGCGTGTAAGTCCCTCTGTGCGAGGGGTAGCAGTGCCCTGAGGAACCCCGGTACTGATGCCCGCAGGGGGTAGTTGGTGCACTCCTGTACTCCCGCTTGGAACTCCTCGATGTTCACCGTGCCAGACTGAGAAGGAAAGTGCGAATTATATGCTGCTTTATTAGGTTTCGTGATCAAGGAACTGCTAAATCAAAATGAGCAGAATTAATAAGTGTTTTGAGTTTATTCTAGATTTTATAAAGAGATTTCTTTTTATTTTCATTGTTTCTACAAATTCAACTTTAATACAAAAGAAATCCTGTCTTATTTAATTGAATAAAAAGTAGATAATTTTTTTTCAAGCTTGTTTTACAAGTGAAGTAATATTGATAAGCATAATTGAACTATGAACAACTTACAACAAGGTTGTGAATCAGTTGGCGTACTCTTTCTCCGGTGTCGGCACCAACATCGGTAGCGAACTGTTGCAGCGCTGAGAGGAACTTCCTCAAGCGCTGCAACGCTGGAGCGGACCGCGAGCCCTCAGCCAGAGGCGGTGACAGGGACTCCGTTGATGACAAAGCCGCTAAGGGGAAAAATTTGATATCTCTTATATTTATTCGCTGTTCTCTAATCACCAGATCCTCCTCACAGAAAACCAGCATAAAATTACGCTTGCTTTGTGTGGATGAAGTTTTTTGGAGTGAGCAGACGGTTTCCTGATGGTGAGCAATCGCCGCCGCCGATGGATATCCGCAACAACGGAGAAATTACGAGTCCGTTGCCGTACTATTGGGGATTAGGGTTTTGGAGATTTAGGAACTGGGAAGGGGAAGAATGGGGATTCAGGTAACCTCAGTCACAAGGAGAACCACAACGCTGTGGTTGTTTCACGCCAATTTTCTACGAGGCCGCACTCTGTGGGATAGACCCATTCGTGCCGAAGCATGGCTCTTCCACACTTATCATATTAAGTTGTGACAAGCCCAAATAACGCTCCCGCAACTCCTCTGGTGTTGTGGGTGTTTATGTAGGGCTCTTATTGCTTACCATCAGGCTATGGAAGCCTTCTTACCAAAAGGCGATCTTTCTTAGGCCGCTCTTAAATAACTATGTTTCCAATCGCCTTTTGAATTCTAATTTTGATAGTAATTTTATTATTCCGAACGAAAATCTAAAATTAGGATCGATTTGGTTGCGGGGCAAGCGCTATAAGGTACCGCGGCCTCGGCCCAGCGCAGGAGAAGGAACAGGGGGATTTTTAGTCAGTAAGAGTCTGACACTCCCTCTCGTCTCCTTCCCTTCCTCACACAATAGGACTGATTAACTATACATTTTAAGTATTATATAACGACATAACTAGGTGTATAGTATTGGTGTCAATCTATGTAGATTTATTACCTGCTGTGCCGTTGTTGAGTGGGCTGGGCGGTCCTGGGGTTGGTGATGACCGCGCCTCCTCCTGCTCCGGAGACCGGTGCTCTTTACTCGTTGTGGTGGCTGCAACAATACATTTGGTATCATCATCTAAATAATTTGAGAATTATATAAGATATTGGGTTTATGGGGATAGGTTACTCATGTAAGTTAAAATCAGTACTTAGAGAAACATTTGGTACCTTCAGAGGAAAAAGCTTGAACACTGAAAGGTCTATAAGGTGGTGTCATTGAAGGCGTACTTTCTAAACTGTTTTCGCCTACTGATTGACACAAAGATTGTATAAATTAATTTTGATAATAACGTACACATATAAAACTGTAACTAAATTTGTTTCGATTTGAGATGATTCATGATAGTACAAGTTTAAACCTTAGTGGTTTTTGGTTGCTATTTAATATTAATAAACGAGCAGGAGGGTGACTTCCTCGATGAACACCCTCTATGAAATCTTTAGGGATTTGAGCATTATAGAACTGGGGATTACAAGTAGGGATTTATACGACTGGGAGTCCGATCGATCGATATTGGTTAAACTTGGATTGGATTTTGATTAAACTGGCTTCCGCCCGCGGCTTCGCCTTTGTGGTGTGTTAATAAAAAGCAATCTAGGTAATCCAGGGTATCACTTATCTCTGTACCAAATTGCAACCAAATCGCTCCAGCAGTTTTTGCGTGAAGAAATAACAAACTTACATCCATATATTCTCACAAAGTAGTACCTATATCTCGACAGAAAACAATGGTCGTAAAAAAAATCTAATTCAAAATCCCAATCAGCGGTGATTGTTCCCAGCCTGTCACATCTCCTGACTATAATAGTATGCATGGTCACGGCCGCTACAGGCTCAGTTTGTACAGCTGCTGCCCACTTCGCTGAGTGCTGCAAGTTGATACTTATAGTGTGTGACCCGCCGACCCGACGCACACATAACACGGGTGGAACTTTCTGAACAAATTAATGTATTTAAAATGAATGCCGCGGTGTTTTATTGCGCTTACCTCTCAACCCTGTTCAAAGATGAAATGAGGTCTAATAAAGAAAACCTGAATGATGAGGTGATGATGATAGTGGCTTTTGAAAAGGAAAGCTACAGAAAAAAAAGTAATTTAAAATGACACAAAAATAACTTGTAGGTGCCTATCACTCTCCCGAGCGTACGGCGCGTAGCGTTCCGCGCGCGCCTCGAAGAGCCAATAGACCACCACAGACGGGGCCCTATAGGGCTGATGTTGCGGCCGGGGTTGCGGGGTAAGCGCAATGAGGCACCGCGACCTCGGCCTAGAGCAGGAGTAGGAACAGGGGGGTTTTTAGTCAGTAAGAGTCTGACACTCCCTCCCGCCTGACCCTGGGCGGGAGAAGTCACTTGATGATTTTCCCCTCACAAAAAAAAATAAAGGTGCCTATCACTCCTTTAAACTGTCAAATTATCAATCATCAAAGACTAAAACAAACCAAAGTTTGAAATCAGAATTCTCAAAAGTTCGCTAAACACAGACCGTAAACAAACATTGAATACCCAGCATTAACATAATCCTCTTCCTATAAATAGCTAATGATAATATTAACAAATAAAGTAGGTATCACTGCAGCACACTAACCTTATTCATTTTACGTACAATATTGAAATAAGTAGCTATGCTGTATGCCCGCGCACGCACCTCATCATCGAGTTTACACAGGCGGCCGATAGAGGGCGGGAGTGGGCGGCCATCAATATGGCGGCTCTCAAATTGGGCGCGAAATTGTAGTGTCGCCATTTTTGAGGATATTTTTTTATTGTTTTTCATTGTTTTTAATTATGGTTTTTAGTAAGTTAGTATTAAGTTTTTTTTATGGGGTTCGTTTTAGCAAAGTTATGTAGTATTTAGTTTAACTTATTTAAATTTCTTAAGCCAGCAATCTGTGTAACATTTTTTTGTCAATTTAAATATTTCTTTAGCAAACAACTTATGACGTATTTAATTTGTGTAAAGTTTTAAATAAAAGTTTATTGCAAGTACCTAAACCAAAAGTATCGTTTTGAAAGGTCAAATAAAAATAGTTATTTCAAAATTTTATACAGGTGTAGGTACGAAAGTAACAACAAGGTTATGATAAAAATCTACGTTAGTACAACATTTATTTTATAGAGGTGCAATAATAGTTCGCAGTTGTAATGGCCACACGCCATCGAAGCTTTAAATACCGTCCAGCATGCAGCCTGTTAAATTTTGTTAAGTGTTTTGTTGGCGGGAAATACTCACATGGTTTAGGCAAGCAAGAGGAAAAAAGGGGAAAAAGAAAGTAAATAAGGTCTTATGTTTAATCTATTTAGGTGTTGCATTGCAGTTTCAATTTTCATAATCGATATAAAATTTTGTTCGTAAGTATTTATCTTACACAATTAAATGGCACTTATTAATAATACGATAGGTACTATATTCCTATGAGTTTTTTTCAAGATGGAAACTTATGATGTCGTCATAATTTAAAACGTCAAATAGCATACATGTCGTTTAGGTCTCGGACTAGTTAAAAGATAGTAATCTGTGTTAATAAGTTAGATAGAAAAAGAAGTACATTACTTATATCAGCAAATTAATAAAGTAGGTTCCTACTGAAAGTGTAATTATTTTTGAATATTTTATTGTATTGAAAAGTCGAAATAATTTCGTTAAATCCAGGCTAAGTAATTACTCCTTTACATTCTGCTTGACAGCGTAACCAATAACTGAAAAATATAAATCTTTTATTTATTAAAAAATAGAAATAAATAAGAAATCACCAAAACTGTTTGAAACACATGTAATTACAGTTTGGTATCGTAAAATACATGTTTTATATAAACGAATCCGTAATATAGAAATATAAAAATGGCGGGTGTGTGCGGCTGACAGAATAAATAAAAGTTTAGTGAAAAGCTAGTGGTGTGCCAAGTGCGGCCCGCGTGCCACAGACACGCGCCCTCACTGCACGACTAGGGAGGGGACAGTTAAGATATCATTTATATCGATGTCCCTAATTACCTACTTTTTTATTTAGTGCTAACGAAAATAATACTTTGCGTGATTAAAGAATGCGTCTTTAAATGTTCGTGCATATGACTTGATTATATCGGGCAGGTTTTTTTTGGTTTATATAAGACTAGAGGAAAGTCGGTTTTTAATTTGTAGCTATTAAGTTCTCGGTGTTAGTCATACGACCCAAATAGGCTCTTGGTAAGATGGCTTAACAGATTTTATTAAAATTCGGCGCTCAGTTCTTAAAAGTAGGATCTAGTTATGAACATTATTGAAAAACTCTTCATATCAAGAAAGTCGTTTCGCCTTCATTTGGCCATCTTTATAAATTTCAAGTCCAATCTAGTGGGTTTTCTACTAAGCCGCGGTTGCGGGTTAATTGTAGTACCCTACTGCAATTAACCCGAAAATCTCAGCCTCGGCCAGGAGAAGGGACGGGGGATTAGTATTTAGTCAATAAGAGTCTGACACTCCCTCTCGCCTTATCTGGGCGGGAGAAGTCATTTGATAATTTCTCCCCCACCCCACAAAAAAAAAACCTAGTAGAAAAGCAGACACGAAAGAAGTTTTCATTAAGTATTGATATCTGTCTATTGCACTCATGACGACAATTAATTTTATACGTCCAGAGTAGTCTTATCGATATAAAACATCGACATTCCCTAACACCGTGTTCTATCGACATTATCCCGTCCTTCTAGCGAGTGTTGGCCATGACAGGCGACACCTCGCCCGGGGCGCGGCTTTCATCTCGCCGCTGCCACGCAATTATGGCTAATATCAAATGCGACATTACCGACTTATAACATTGTGCCACCGTAGGTACTACAGACTCATTATTTTATAGTTACATATTTCACGTTCGAAACCTGGCGAGTACCAATGTGACTTTTTCCAAGTTATATTATGTTCTTTCTATGATTATTTAGACACCACTGACATACGGTGAAGGTAAACATGGAGTTACAATTTCTAATTATAAGTTTGAAATCACCAATCCGCCTTGAGCAAGCGTTATGAATAATGCTCAAAACCTTCACCGTGTGAGAAGAGGCTTTGCTCAGCAGTCGGCGCTTATAGGCTGATGATAATGATGATAAGATGTTGGAACCGGGGTTGCGGGGTAGGCGTAATGAGGCACCGCGACCTCGGCCCAGAGCAGGAGAAGGAACAGGGGGGTTTTTAGTCAGTAAGAGTCTGACACTCCCTCCCGCCCGGCCCTGGGCAGAAGAAGTCATTTGATGATTTTCCCCTCACAAAAAAAGGTGTTGGAAATTGTCATGTTGTAGCTCAATCAGACATCATAAACATATTTTGTGTAAAAGTAATTTTGAAATAACTTTTAAAAAGTGGGTATTGTGGCAAGAGTACGTTTGAGTTTTAGAAGAATAAATTACTACCTTTGCCGGGATTGCGGATCAACCTCAATTATGTACCGCGGCCTCGGCCTAGAGCAGGAGAGGGAATGAAGTGGTTTTTAGTCAGTAAGAGTCTGACAATCCCTCTCGCTTCAACCTGGGCGAGATAAGTCATTTGATGATTTTCCCACCTCAAAAACAGGTGGTCGTTGTTTTCAGTATCATTTCCGGACAATGGAAATGCTAACTACGAAATTAGAGTTGCTTTTGAGGACTCTAGACCAAAGTTAAGATAATTAGCTGGCACGACAAACTATAACAAATGTATTCAGAAGTACCCGGTATTAAGCAAACTAAAATGAAAATTAGTCCAAGCCCGAGGAAAAATGGATTTCATAGAAAGTAATGTTTGTAATGACAATATATCAATCTTTCTTAGTAGATAGTTTCGATTCAAATAGGACCTATTCCTAGCTACCAATTACTAAATATCAAGAACAACAATTACAAATCAACAGACATTTCATTGAAGCAAGCACAAGCTCATTCTAGCAAATTAACCTGCAAACTATCTGTTACCACGAACACCAATTAAAATCCCCCGTATGTTTGTCCACATAGGTCCCCGGTCCATGCTTGACACTGGGACATGACCCTAATAAATCCTGGCTCTACAAATCATGCGGTGGCGCCCGTCACTC